CTGACGAGATGCATTCAGTTATGATGAAGGTAAGTTCATGGTTTTCTTCTTTCCCTTTAAATTTTGTTGCTGCTTTTGTCTATCTCTTCTTCTCATACCCTTTTTCTTTAAATGAATTTCAGAGGGGTTCATGTGTAGGCTCTAGTGAGATGAGTGTTTGAGCCATTTCATGCTCATCAAGAAATTTATCAGAAATATCTTTAGCATAAGAAATATGATCTCTCTCAAGAGCTTCATTTTTGTTTTTAACAGATTTTAATTCTTCTTTCAAAAGATCACATTGCCTTGTTATTTTCATATTTCCGACCTTTTCTTTACATCTACTCATAAGATCTTGAATGAAGGTAATCAAATTAGAACGATATAGTTTAGAAAATACCTCATCCTTTTCAGATTCTGAACCACAATCTGAGTCAGATTCTGCTTCAGAAGATGTAAGAGCCATCAAAGCTGGATTATTTTGTTCTTCATCTTTCTCAGAATCTTCTTCATTGTTAAATTCATCCCATGTTGCCATGAGACTCTTCTTGAGTTTGTTTTTGAACCTGTCCTTCTGGAAGATTCCTTTCTTTGACTTGTCCTTGTGTAGATAAGAACATTCAACAGTGAAGTGACCAGACTTCTTGCAGTTAAAACATTCCTTTTGATAATCTTTCTTATATCTTGAACTTGATCCTCTGAAGCCACTACTTCTACAAGAGAATCTTTTGTTCTTCTTGGTCAAGTATTGAAATATTTTATTGATAAAAGCCATTTCCTCATCATCTGAGTCTCCTACAAAACCTTTTGATTGAGAAGCTTCTTCATAGTTTCAGACTTTAGGGACCTTTACAGGTTTTACATAAGATTTCAAAGCTAGGGACTTTGACTTCTTGACAGGTTCATCTCTATTGAGCTCCATCTCATAACTCTGAAGATGGCTGATAAAACTTTTAAGACTTAATGAGTCTAAGTCTCTAGACTCCTAGGTAGTTGTTATCTTAGGTTTATAATTGATAGGAAGACTCTTAAGAATCTTGACATGATCAAAGATAGTGTAGCTATTGTTCAGAACCTGGAGTCCAGATACAAAAATTTGAAACTTATAAAACATGGTTTGAATGTCTTCATCTTCCTTCATTCTGAACAACTAATATTGATGAACCAGAAGGTTAGCCTTAACTTTCTTAACTTGTTTATTCCCTTCATATGTAGCACATAAGGATTTGAAAATAGTTATAACAAATGATTTTAATGTACCATGAATGAGGTAGAGCATCAACCAAGATGCCTCTAACTCTGTGATGTTTTATGTGAGTCTTTTTTTTAAGAAAATGTGAAAGATTTCTTGTCAGACACCATCCCAACTCCATTGACTTGAATATCAATGTCATCTTCTAAAATATCCCATAAATCGTCATCAAGACCTATGATATGAGTGTACATCTTACTCTTCCACCATTCAAACTGAATAGAGTCTCCATTGAAGGTTGGAGGTCAAATTGTATAATTGTTTTTCTCAGAGGTACTGTAATCATGATTAATAGTACCAAAAGGATTAGGAGTTCACCTACCAAAACCAGATACACCAGAATCAGCCATGATAAAATAAAATTTTTTTCTCAAGATCTTTTCTACACCACTGTTAAGTGTTAATCACAGACCTTGCTCTGATGCCAACTAAAGGTAAGAAAAATATAAGAAGGGGTTAAATTGTGTTGACTTTTTCTCTTTCAAGCCTTTTCTTTTTCTGCTTCTGATGGATCTCAATCAGATTCTGAACACTTGGTTCAGAGTCTGATTAAGAAAACTTGGTTTAATTCTAAAATTCCTTATCAGATTCTGAACTAGAATCTGACTTAGAGTATTAGAGTTAACAATAGCGGAAATATAAGTACAGAAGAAAGGAAAGTAAAAGCAAAGACACATGTAGTTATCCAGGTTCTTCTCATAACTTGAGAGTAGTCCGGTCCCCTTGCACTTCCAAGAAATTTTCACTATAACAAAACTGATTACAAATGCTCAAGCATAAAACAAGAGACTTCTAATTCTAAAACCCACAAGTAAGAGACTATAATACTCAATCTCACAAGCAAGAGACTTCCAATGCTCAAACCTTCAAGTAAGAGAGTTTTATGCTCAAGCACACATGCAAGAAATTTCAAATGCTTAAGCACTAAAGCAAGAGACTTCTGACTCTATAACAAATTATTAAGAGATTTGAGTAACTACTACACTTGATATACAATCAGAGTTGTAGAAAGAATACAACTTAGAAAGACTCTAAGACTCAAGAGCTTCTAAAATATACACAATATTAATATGTTTTAAGTCTAGAAAATTTGACAGAGTGACTTCTCTTTGAAATGTCAAGGTTCTGAGTATGTATAGCAGTGTGTTGTAATGTAGTATTCTTCTTCAGAACTTCTGCTCCTTAAATAGAACGAAAGAAAAGATATGTTGAAGACTTTCACCAAAAGGTTGGGCTAACTTTGTACTTGATTGGACATATAAAAAATATCTTTCTACAAGAGGAATTATCCGTTGAAGCTCAGACAACAAAGAAGATATTTTTCCTTAAGTGTTCACGTGATCAAAAAGTCTCTGAGTCTTTCAGAGTTGCCTCAATTGAAGAGAAGATGTTTCAGAGGTTGAATTTCTTAAGAGTTCACTCTTCAGAGGCTGATCTCTTCATAGTCTGCTTCTGAAGCTTCAAAGTATGGATTCTAGAGGCTAAATTTCATCAGAGTCTGAGCCTTCCCTCAAAACCAGAGTCTTCAAAAGTGATCTTTAGAGCCAGAGTCTGAACTTCAAATGCAGAATCCTCAAGCTTCTCTTTATCTGTTCTCAGTCTTAAAAATCTGCATACTTGAAAAGATGTTAGGATACCCAATTATTTTTTAAATGCTTTCTTATCATCAAAACCCAAAGGATATGGTATTAACCAATTCTGTTCTAAAAAACATGTTTTTATGGTATCAATTGATATTCGAAAGATGCCAGCCATTACTAGATCCAATTATGTCATCTATTGGATGCTAAAGTTTAGACATAGATTTAGGTTTAATATCGAAACACTGTTAGTTCACATCGTTGACTCAGACATGAGTTGAGATGAGAGCTTTGAGAGGTAATATTAATAACTGATTAAATTTGCATATTACTGGTTAAAGATGCTTCATAAGAATAAGTAAACAGAATCTAACTCCAACAAAGTTTTTTCACTGTTAAACACTGAAAAGTTCAATTTTACATTTCAACTATTCACAAAATAATCAACAATATGATAAATCAAACTTAAAGTAATAAAACGATTTTTGAAATACAACTAGTCCATGTGGAGACGATAATTACACACTTACTTTTGTTCTACCACATTAATTAAATGTATAGTAGAACTTCCCTCATTAATAAAACTAGTTAACCAACTACTAATATTATCTATTTTGTGAAGGGTGTGATAACTCCTTATAGCAATTGAGGTCATTATTTCCTTATTACTATTTTGATTTCTTCTTTTGTATATCTTATCAAAGATTTGACGTGAAAATGATAGGAAAAGGGGATGACGTGGCACAAAAACTACCCTAACACTCATATCAGAAATAACAGTGTTTTGACATAATAGTTCTTGAAGGCCAAACATGTTTCCATCATTTTTCATATTAGGGAATTGACTTTACTCAAAAGCATTCCTCTGTCTATCTCGCCCATCTAGTATGCAAACATGTAACGTTTACAGTAGTCTGACTACAAATATTATACAAGAAAAAATAGCAACAATTTATAATGTATAAAAGTTTGGATGCATTATAAATAGGGGACTCACTCCTCGTGCATGATCACTCACTCAACATCTTGCTTAAACCTTACTCATACTATGTTTACCTTGTCATCAAAGTGACCTCACAAGTATACCCCCTCATTTTTAAAAGGAGCATATGAGCAGCTATGTAGAGATGACAACATAAAGAGTGAAGATCACATGATCACCGACTCTAATGATCAACCTCATGTTCCATACATGAACATAACCATTTTCTAAGAGTTCTTTCATACTTAAAATATTGTTCTTCATATTTGGAATATATGATGGTTTGGGGTCTTGTTAGGATTTAGAATAGTTAGACGCCTTCTAAAGTCGCATGGTTCTCTTGGTAGTTACTTAAGAACAGATTATCAATTAGGCATAATCTCTTAAGCCATCAAATTGTGGCTGGTTCTATTAATTCAAGTTGTGGAGTGCGTATGGGGCATGTAGAGTCAATAAATCATCTTATTTTTTTTTTATCATGTGTGAGGTTGCCTAATCTACCAAGATATAGTTCTTAGGTAGGCAGGGCATCATGGACCATTGCCGCATTCGATTTTAGGGTTGTTCGAGTTGTTTTAGGGTTAGAGTCAAGATAAACAATTATCTTTAGTCCTAGTTTCAATCTAACTTTTTTATGGTATAGACTATTTGAAATTTGCGTATTAAACTCGTATTTTGTTGGGAGAGCTTGTCTCTTAATCACTAGATATCCCTAATCATTAGTTTGACGTGGAAGTGACTTTATGTCCATACTTAAAATTTTGGAGTTTCTTTGTTAGACCAAAATCAGAATACATGAAGTGGTCGGACATCTATATGTGTGTTGGGTGGCTGTCTGTCATCCTTTTGTTATAGGTAGTTCTGTTTTCCTCCCTTCGACCGACTCTCTCGGAAGGTTTGTTTGTGTCAAAGGTTTTAAGATACATCAATTTATTCGGCTGGATGACTTGTTTTTCTTTTTTGGATGTATTGTTCATTTGCTTTGTTTCGTTTATTTCAACTTTTTTATTTTGAATTTATTATTGTTGCGCATTTCTGAAGCTCTTTTCTTTTGTTCCGCTAGTATTAATATGGTCCGATCACCGCTACCTCCGCATTACTCCGCCGGCGACACTATCTCCCTCTTCTCCGATCAAACCCTAACTCAAAACCACCACCACGCCTCTCTAACCATCACCGCCGGCAACACTCTATTCAACACATTCCAATGGCAACAACACTATCTCTTCCACAACACACTCATTTCCCTCTCAGAACCCTCACACTCACACTACCCTCTCATCTCACACACTCCTTCTCCTCTCTCCCTCTCCCACAACAACCCTCCCCCTCTTCTCTCCCGGACGCATTCTTAATCGATAAACTTTTCTTCCGCTTCAAACAAGGCGACCTCTCCTCCCTCCGCAACCACCTCCTCCGCTCAAACTCATCAACCCTAATCCCTCAACTTCTCCAAAAATGCCACAATTACCCTCTCTTACTTCCAAATCTCATACAAACCATAGCCACCACGTCTCCAAATCCAACAATCACTGCTTCAATGGTTCACTTTCTAGTTCAATCCAAGAACCTTCCAGAAGCTCAATCTCTTCTCCTCAGAATCATCCGAAAAAGTGGCGTTTCGCGTCTCGAGGTAATCGATTCTCTGGTTTCAAATTCTCATCAAAATGGTGTTGTTTTTGATCTGTTGATTAGAACATATGTTCAGGCTAGGAAATTAAGAGAAGGTTCTGAGGCGTTTAGAATTTTAGCTGGAAGAGGTTTATGTGTTTCGGTTAACGCTTGTAATGCTCTTTTAGGTGCAATTGTTAAGGTTGGATGGGTTGATTTGGCGTGGAATGTGTATGAGGATTTTGTGAAGAGTGGGAATAAAGTTAATGTTTATACTTTGAATATTATGGTTAATGCTTTGTGTAAAGATGGTAGATTGGATAATGTTAGGGGTTTCTTAGATGAGATGGAGGGAAAAGGGGTTTATCCTGATCTTGTTACTTATAATACTTTGATTAATGCTTATTGTCGAAGGGGACTTGTTTCAGAAGCTTTTCGGTTGGTGGATAATATGGCTGGTAAAGGGTTGAGGCCGGGACTTTTTACTTATAATGCTTTGATTAATGGTTTGTGTAAGGAGGGGAGTTATGAGAGAGCGAGATGTGTTTTGGATGAGATGTTGGGGGTTGGACTGTGTCCTGATGCTGCTAGTTTTAACCCGATGTTGGTAGAGAGTTGTAGGAAGGAGGATGTCTGTGAGGCGGAGAGGGTTTTTAATGAAATGTTGGGGCGTGGAGTTGTTCCTGATTTGATTAGCTTTAGCTCGATTGTTAAGGTGTTTTCTAGGAATGGGGAACTTGGTCGGGCACTGGCTTATTTTGAGAAGATGAAAGATGTTGGGTTGGTTCCTGATACTGTTATTTATACGATTCTTATCAATGGGTATTGTAGGAATGGTGATGTGACTGGGGCACTGAAAATGCGGAATGAGATGGTGGAGCGGGGTTGTGTTATGGATGTGGTTACGTATAATACTTTGTTGAATGGATTGTGTAGGGGGAAAATGCTTGTTGATGCTGATGAGCTGTTTAGGGAGATGGTGGAAAGGGGAGTTTTTCCTGATTTCTACACTCTAACAACTCTCATTCATGGATATTGTAAGGACGGAAACATGACTAAAGCACTTAGTTTGTTTGAGACTATGACTCTGAGGAGCCTTAAGCCTGATGTCGTGACATATAATACGTTGATGGATGGCTTCTGCAAAATAGGCGAAATGGAGAAAGCTAAGGAGTTGTGGCGTGATATGATAAACAGGGAAATATTTCCCAACTACATATCGTTTAGCATTTTGATAAATGGATTTTGCACTTTAGGTCTTGTGTCCGAAGCTTTCAGATTGTGGGATGAAATGAAAGAAAAGGGTATTAAGCCCACCCTGGTGACCTGCAACACCATAATAAAAGGCTATTTGCGAGCCGGCAGTGTGTCAAAGGCAAGTAACTTCTTGAACAAGATGATTTCAGAAGGAGTTTCGCCTGATTGCATCACATATAATACTCTTATAAATGGTTTCGTAAAGGAAGAGAACTTTGATAGAGCTTTTTTCTTGATTAGTAACATGGAAGAACGAGGGCTGCTGCCTGATCTCGTCACATACAATGCGATTCTTGGTGGATTTTCTAGGCAAGGTAGAATGCAAGAGGCTGAGATGGTATTACATAAGATGATTGATAAGGGTATCAATCCTGATAAATCAATTTACACATCACTGATAAATGGGCATGTCTCTAAAGACAACCTTAAAGAGGCATTCCGTGTCCATGATGAAATGCTGCAAAGGGGATTTGTCCCAGATGACAAATTCTAGAAATTTTACCATTACAACTGCTACAACATTACAGTTCTTTTGGTCTAAACTGATTAGACATTTCACATGACAATTGCATGAAGTTCATAGTTTCTATATTGTTGAAGCAGAAACCTTGAAGTCGTTGCAATTATGAAGCATAGCAAGGGAGTTAAAACACACTTCCTTGCTCTTATGCTTGAGAACGGTTGCCAGTCACCACTTAATATCTGGCTCATGTACATTTTATTTCCAGCTATCCCTAGTTCCGCACCAGTGAATTTGAAAGTTTATATTTAGCATTTATCTGCAGAAATGACAAGGAATTGGGAGTGACTGGTTAGACCAAATATACTCATTTTCTATCAGGAGTATGATGACACACACGCAGCCCTTTTGTTAGTTAAAAAAACAAGCAATAAAACATACAGAATCTATTCTTTTAAGATAATCCATGTGAGGTTGCTTTCCCAATTTTGAATTCCTGAAATCCGATGGTGAATCATATACCATCTGACTCTGATATTGTTAGTTGAGTTACTGGTATATCTCACTAGTCAAGAGGGATACAAACTTTTCAGTATATAGATTGCAGCTCGAGGTTCCTCGAGTTCTTCGTCATTACTCATACCTTGCTTAGAATTATGTACATGTAAGCTGTACAGGTTTTAGTTCGTGTATATGCACACAGATAGCAGTGTCCTGATTAACAAGTGATGTGAAGTTGTATGATCAATGGATGAACAATCCTTCTGAAGCAAGCTGCAGATTATTGCAACCATACTTTTGGGTTACATCATATCTTTTTTGACATTTTTCGAATGAAAGGTTGGTTCCATTGGTTATTTTGTTTGCTATTATAGTGTCAGAACACTTTTGAAGAGATATGTGTGGAAGGGTTGGAATATAGATTTTGAATGAGCCCATCAATACTTTGTCATGTGGATTTCTTGAGAACTATACTAAGCACCCCTATAATTAGACACGACACTCCTGCATAATTTAAAATGTCAATAATAACCCTCATAATTTATATTTCCGCGTTTCTTATAAAAAAATTACTTCTAAAATAACACAAAAAAAATGTAGTAGTTGTATGTAAATATCCTGTTTTCTATAAGTAAAAACAAAAATTTACTTCTAAGATCTATGATATTTTTATAAAATCATATTCTCTTTTTCTCAAAATATGTTTTTTATACTTGATTTTTCAATAATCTGGTGTAAAATCATATATTTCTTTTATATTGGATTTATCAAAAAAATCTGGTACATTACAAATCAGATTTATCAAAGAACTTTTTAGTGTTAATTGTGTTTTTTTATTTTTTTATATAATTGCTCAAAATTAGCCTATAAAAAATTTCAAAATATCTCACTCTCACATTTTATATTGGTTTTTTTTTTTAATTTTTAAATTTGGTATGAAATTGAAGATTTTTTCAAAATTTATGATTTTATGTTTTTTCGAAAATTATAGTTTTATACAAGATTTTTAAAAAATTAGTATAAAATGCATTTTAAAAAAAATTATAAAGTTAAATTAATTATTTACTTAAAAGAGTAAAATAGGTATACTGAAAAGTTGTATAAAATATTCATGGGTAAATCTATGTGGGTTAACTTAAATTATTAAATTTTTAAATGGTGTATCAGATAATTCGTAATAAAGATTTTGGAAGGCTTATTAGTGGGTAAACCAATGTTTTGTAATATTTTTAAAATTCCTTTAAAATTATTTTAATGTATAATTTTATAGACAAAGATATAGAGTTATCTACGAAGTTTTTGAAATCTTTTTTACATGTTTTTTGATGAATATTTTTATCTCAAAAATATTTAAATTTATCCACAAAGAAGCTGCATTAAATTTTTGAAAATTTTTTTTTAAGTAATTCAAAAATTTTGTGAAACTGAAAAAGTTTTAAATTTGAAAAATGTAAACTTAACATTTTTTAAATATATTTTATAGGGTTGAAGTTACAATTATAGGGTTAAGAAGTAAAATTTGTGTGCATGTTTTTAAAGACTGGATCAATTCGACAAAAAAAATGGACCAGTTAACCTCTGCCATCAAGTTGGATTAAATAGAAAAGAACATTGTTAAATGCACCAACCCTTCAATTGATAGTATCTGCTCCTAAATTTTCTTCATTTTAGATAAAACACTCAACTAAATAATAGTGTTTTTCCACTATATTATTTAATACGGATGTTTTTTCTAAAATGAGAAAACTTGAAGTCTAAAACGAAAAGATAGAGATGTCAAAGAGAATAAAATAGAAGAGAGAATTTTAATTGTAAATTAGTTAGATATCTATGCGGTTGCACCAGAAAATTTATTTGATACAATATATAAAAAATGGTGAGATATAAAAGAAAAATAATTAATATTTAAAAATAAAAATTTTGTCACTCACATTAATACGATAATTTATTAAAATAAAATAAAAATTTGATTGATAGCAACCCGAGAAATAAAATAAATAGTTATTTTTATTAAAATTAAAAAATAAATTATTAGTATTTTTAGTGATAATAAATAAGTAGAAAAAATAATTAAAATAAAAGTAAAAAAGTGTGAGAAAAAATATAAAAAAATTTTAAAATTTAAATAAAAAAAAAGAAAAAAAATATTTAATTACGATTTAATCCGTGAAAATTACAAAATAAACCTCAGGTAAACATTAATATTCCATTTCACACAGAAATAGATATAATGAGTGGAGTAGTTGGATTGTATGTCATGATTATTAGCAAGAAACAATAGGAACAAGAACAAATACGCAGACACGTTCAAGTTTAATTTATTTTAATCATCCTTTCTTGAATTAATGATGAGATTAATTCATGAATCATAATCATCACAAACACACATCATGGACCTTGTTTGTCAGATTAAAGTAGCAGCCACAATGTATCCAAAACTAAATACCAACACAGAAAATGGGTTGGTTATGACCACAATAAGGACTCTAATCCATTCAAATTTAGCTTATTCTTCTTCTTATCACATATCTTGGGATAAAGTACAACCCAAAAACAAGTATTTGGTCAAATTATAATCCACGATTTCATCACAGGGACATAAGTTCAAACACTCTAACGACATCACCATTGCACTCATTTGTTTTTAATTGACCAGTACACATGTAACACAACAACAAGCCAAAGAAAACACTGAATCAAGACTTGTAGTTAAGAAATTACTGTCCATGCAAATTGCTTGGTTCAGACAAATTCAATAAAAAAAGCTCTTTGTTCAATCCAAGAGACACTGGTTTTACTTTTTCATTAATGCAAAAGGAGAAAACTGCGGCTGAATTAAGTATGAGGTTTAATTAATGATGAAATTGTAATGATGTAATGGTGGTGATTAATGGTTAAGCACTTGAAAAATTCCAACCATTTAATTAAGTAAAATGCAAAATGTCAACAACTTCATTGTCATTGTGGATGATAAAATCATTAAATCTTGTTTTTAATTTCTAGAGAGAGTTATAAATTGTGGAAATGGATAAGTATGAGGTCATATTAACTAAGTTTATAAATTAAAAATACTACTACTATACGTATATCTTTATTTAATTTTCCTATCTTTGACTGAATAATCATATGTTGCTTTCAATTTTATTACTATACTAGTAGGAATAATAATGATAATAATATGAACCTCTAAACAAAAAATTTCTTTGGTAATGGATAATTAAGTTTTATGACTATCTTTTAGGTTAATGGTACCGTTAACTTGAAGGGTGAAAATCGTAAAATCACAATTTAAAAAAATTGTGTATTTGAGATAAAATAAACCAAATATGTTGATAAACAAAAGACAAGAAGTCAATTGTGGGTTACCACATATTTCAAAGTAGATAATTTGCATAAATACTCAAATGAGACAACATTTCTGTAGGTCATAATTCTATGATTTAGAAAATAGTTTGTTCTATAAACACCGTAATTGTAAATGATTTGAAATATCAAAATTAATCAATTAAGTTATTTTATTCATTTAATTTATTTACTTTACTTTTTATACATTCTTAGGTTTATAGGTCAACATTTCTACACGCCGCATTTAACACTCTCTCGAGTAGTAAATAAACCCGTAGTCGAGGAATATAATTACTTCCTAAGTGTAATTCTTTGAAAATAAGAGAATCATTATTGAGAGCTATCAACCAATCCTCAACTAACTTTCACATTTCGACAATAAATTTGGCCAGCCCACTAGCAGTAGGACACTACAACCAACACCATTTAAGAATTATATTCACCTAGTCAAGGCTATGCTTGAAGTATGTACATGCAATCTAGATAAAACCTCAACACCACGAGCCAACCATCATTATCATCTCCGAGAAGGTAAAATCAACAATGACTATATGAATCTTCATAAACGGCGGAAGTCCCAATAATTGTGCCTCCTCTATTGCTTATGGGGTTGTGTCTCTTAATCCACAAGAGGGTTCAATGATAATGACAACGTCTTTCATTAGACAACAATTTCACATGGGGACACATAACATTATGTATCTAGTCTCGTAAAAAAATTCAAACATTGTAAAGCTTTTGGCTCATAACGAGATCCAACAAGTCTGGGAGTTATGGGAGTTAGGAATCAAACGAGAAAATTTGGGTGACACTTCTATCATGTCAACCATACAAAGAATGAAAGGGAACCAAAGTCATGCATGTGTTTATACTTAGAGCTAGTTGATCACTAAAACAATAAGGTCTTTCAAGATCAACCGATTCCTCTACATTATGTACCTTTTATCCTTTGTTATTTGCAACCTAGTACTTTTGCCATAAAGGAAGATGCCTACACAGGGCCGTCACATTGATATGGGGGTATCTGATGATGACATGTCAGTCGATGCCACAATATATATATATATATATATATATATATATATATATATATATATATATTAGCAAAAATAATTCTAAGAGGCAAAAAAAAATATTCAAGTTCTTTCTTTAAGCTTGCTAAAAAGAAAAAAATAATTCAATATAGA